AAAATTACAAAGATAAGAGTAAAAATCAATGCAATGGAGACTAAGAGAAAGATACAAAAAAATCAATGAAGCAAAGAGTTGGTTCTTTGAAAGAATGAGCAAAACTGACAAACCCTTAGGAAACCTTATCAGAAAAAGGAAAGAAAAGGCCCAAATCCATGCAATTAGGAATGAAAAGGATGAAATTACAATGGACCCTGCTGAAATCCAGATGATCATCAATACCTACTTCGAGAACCTATATGCCAATAAGATGAAAAACACAGAAATGGACAGATTCCTAGATACATATGAATTACCAAAATTGAATGAAGAAGACCTAAAAATTCTAAACAACCCAATATCAATCAATGAAATTGAAAACATAATTAAAAATTTACCAACTAAGAAAAGCCCAGTTCCTCAAGGCTTCACTGCTGAATTCTACAAGACATTTAGAGAGGAACTACTGCCACTACTGTTTTAACTCTTCAATGAAATTGAAAAGGAAGCAATACTCCCGAATTCACTCCTGGAAGCAAGCATCTCCTTGATCCCCAAATCAGAGAAAGACCCAACCAAAAAAGAGAACTATAGGCCAATCTACTAATGAACATAGATGCAAAAATCCTTAATAAGATACTGGCAAATAGAATGCAGACGATCATCAAGAAGATCATACATCCTGACCAAATGGGATTCATCCCAGGGATGTAGGGATGGTTCAACATATGTAAATCAATAAATGTAATACACTATATCAATAGAGCTAAGGACAAAAACCATATAATCATCACAATAGATGCAGAAAAAGCATTTGACAAAATCCAATATGCATTTATGATAAAAAAACCTACAAAAAATTGGAATAGACGGTCTCTACCTCAAGCTGATAAAAGCCATCTCTGAAAAACCAACAGCCAATATCATACTAAAAGGTCAAAAACTGAAATCCTTTACACTAAAACCAGGAACAAGACGAGAATGTCCACTATCACCACTCCTGTTCAATATAGTCTTGGAAACATTAGCCATAGCAATTAGACAAGAGAAAGAAATAAAAGGAATAAGATAGGAAATGAAGAAGTGAAATT